TGCAAATGCCATTAGGAGCACAAGAACGAGCCAGAGGAACCTGATTTTTACACAGATTATCTGTTTTATGTACTACTGTCAGGATATAGTGAATGTGATAATGTGATGAACATAATTTGGATTTAATTAAACTGTCTTTTTTTATAAGTTACCTACTGCACCTTTAATGTATGTGACTAACTACCTGCCCTCAAAAAAGGATGATTAGAGTGAAGTGTAAGACTGATTTTCAGGCTATAATGACGACTTGATACTATTATTACGACTATTATTAGGGGGCTTCGAAGCCCCAGCTAAAATGTGCCTTTGACAAGCAAGTTTTTGCATCACATGCAAGATGTATTGGGGAGACAACAAAGGTGGCATGTGACAATAAGTCATGATTCCTCACTTTGTCAGTGTTGGACTCTATGATACAAATTGAATGAGAATCTTTTCTTGTGTAAGATATCTTCCCCTTAGCTGTAAGCCAAGTCCACACAGTCACAAATAATATGTTTTACCACTAAAAAGTTCAAGAGGTATAAGGAAATGTGGTATTTGAAGGCTTGTGTTGGAGGTAGAGGAAGGATGTAGTAAATGACACGTGTATGAATGATTCTATAGGAAGGCATTGTGTGTGTGAGTGCTGAATTCTGCGGTGGTGAGGTAAGTCTGTGATGACAGAGAGATGTGTCAGGAATGACCTCCTCCTCTCCTGGGACCATGTTGGAGCACGTTTGACATGGAAGTAACACCTCGCTGTCAGCTACAACACACGCACACACGCGCACTGAGATGAAGATACACACTTTGTTTACCGTGTCCCTTTTGTACCGCTACACTGCTCTCCAAACAAGACAAGCCTGTAAACGTGTGGATGAATAATTTTCCCAGGTTCAATAAAAAGGAACATTTTGTTGCACTGTGTATACACAGGAGTAAACATTCTCTCAGGTTTAGACCTCTTTATGTGTAAATATTTGGGTGGAAGACGTCTAGCTGGATAAATCGTGCCGAACATCAACGTTTTTCAGGTCTGAAGAAACAGCCACACTCATCTTCTGTCCTCCACCCAGCAGCATTGTGTCATATTTCTCATTGTGTTATTTGTTAGATAAGCATTTTTTTTGTAATTTCCTTAACAGAACAGTGTCCGGGGCAACACTTTTAACCTGAGCTGTAAACAAGTTTTCCTCTTCTTTAGCGCACCACACATTTCCACCACTGTCTCGCTCCTCCTCCCAGCATTCCTGGCGTGCAGCGGACAAACTGCGATCCAGGCTCAGGACTCATCCTACCATGGCAGGTATAAGTAAATAAGTGACCTGGTTTATTGCAGGAAATAAAACAAAACAATTGAGAGGCATGTCAAATAAATAAAAACACTGTGAGGATGTATGTAAACATGTTTCGGTTGGTTCTCAGTTCATAAACACATGGAGATCATAATTATAGGTAAAGTTGAGGTTGGTAATGTCTGCAAAGCCAAACTAAAGCTACATCCTGTAAATTCATCTGACAGTCTTAGTCGACTCTTTTGGGAAGTGTTTTACCTTTAGTTTCCTCTGGGGGGAGTATTAGTTGTGTGAAAGTGTGATATTGTGAAGGCGGACTGACAACATTCATTATGACCAGAAACACCTGGTTTTCCACCAGTCTCTATAAGGTAATGTATTAGTGAATCTCCGTAAGCTGACCCTGACGTGATTTGAACACGCAACCTTCTGATCTGGAGTCAGACGCGCTACCATTGCGCCACAAGGTCACTTGTTGTCAAGACAAGTTGCACATCACAGGCAGTGAAGATTAGAAGATATCTAAAGAAAAGGAATAGTAAGACACATATTTGGGCAGTGCTTTAACCTTATATCATGCAGGGACATAGTAGTTTGGAAAAGATGCTGTCCATCTTGCACTCGTGTTCATGTTCACTCATTTGGACGACATTAGATGATAAAGAAGAAGGGCTTCAGGGAGTGCAGCTCCACAGAAAGGTTGCAGCTTTTATCAGTAAATTGGGTCATACTGTAGATTCATCCTCGGGCTGATTTCTCATTTTGCGCTGGAGTTCAATAATTTATTCTCATATGTAACATTAATATATGCTTTGTTGTCAGTGACGTAAGCGCAGCTCAATCAAGCACGGATCTGACTTTCGGTGTGTTCTCAGCAGCTCCATCCTAGAACATCCTGCCTCATCTCCTTCAGTCTGACTCATGCAGTCGGGTTGAAACTGACGTCTGTTTATGTGTACCATGTGCTGAATCACCAGGCAGTCGCACATGAATCAAATCCAAGTGTGTTAACGTGTAACACTTGTTGCAATAGACCTGCAGCACTGAACCTGAGCCTGGATCAGGGTTTTCCAGACTTACCTAACCAGGACTCCCAAGCTCACAGATCTCCATCTGATAAGATGTTGTCTCCAGAAGAATTCCACATAAAGTGTTTGTATAGCAGGTAGATGAAGATCTGTGTTTGACACAATTTGCGCCAGGCCGTGCTATTACTGTGTGTACCACTAGGGAGTAAAACAACTGGGAATTTACAGTATTCTTCAGAAACTGCCCCAGGTTAGGCTGAATTACCAACAGGGCAAAGTGGGCAACTGCCTCAGGCCCCAGAGCCTTAAGGTGATTAAAGAAATGAGCACTAACTGTCATACAAGTAGAGTAATCCTCTAGTGTAGGAATACACTAGGGGCTTAGGGCAAAATGGGGTGGGGTAACCTGTGTGGTGGGGTGGGACTTGATGGGTCCCACAGCTCACTTTAGCCCAGGGACCCTCTTGCAGGTTGATCTGGCCCTACCCCCTGCCGTTTTAAGGATCCCTGGAAATCCCAAACTCTGGAATCTAGATCATAAAATAATAATGTGCTTTAAGATATATTGCTCCAGTCCTAATGTCTTTCAGTCACCACGTCAATAGAAAACCAACAACAATCTGCATTTGATAAGTTTTCCATTACACCACACACAGTGTAGACCGCGACTCTACACCGAAAAACACATTACTTAGTGTTACGCAACTTCTGATGATAAGCGAGTGAATCTCGATGGGTTCGCCGTCAGAGACACACAGGATTGTATTGGTTGGCGTGAGGAAACATTCTTAGTGCCTGCTCTGACATGTGGGCGCAGTGTCAGTCCAGTGGTGCGCTCCGCTGCTGGAGAGGCTTTCTGTTGGGAACTTTCTGTAAGTGAGTCAACACGGCACAGGGAGGACGCCACCCAGCCCCGCCGCTGGATCCAAATGCTGGGCTTCTTTCTTGCCCTCCCGAGGACGCAGGACACAAGAGACAACTTCACTTTCGACCTCTTCGCAAAGACCGGGGATTTATCGTTTAGCCTTCGTGAGCGGGGATGGTTTTTGTCGTTTTGACGCGGCTCTTTCCTCTGTGGAATTAACGCGGCGGAGGAGAAATGAAAGTGACGGTGTGTTTCGGGAGGACCCGGGTGGTCGTTCCGTGCGGAGATGGGAATGTAAAAGTCTTTTACCTGATCGAACAAGCGGCCATGAGGTATAAGAAGGCGATCGCAAAGGTAAGCTCCCCCCCCCGCACAGCCCTGCCCCGGTGTGCTTTCTGAAACGTTTCGCTGTGTGTGTGTGCGCGGAGCTGCACGCTGCATCCACACTGGCGCCTCAACATGGCGCTTTTTACGGGCTCAGAGAAAGAGGGAGAGTGGGCAGAAAAGACAGTGGCTGGCCCTAGAACCAGAGCCAGTGGGGACCCCCATGGGCCCCCGGTGGGGAGAGTGGAAGGCGAAACTTTTCATTGTTATTTCTAAGGAGACCTATGAGTACTTTCATCAGTATTTTCTACAGTAATCTAAAAAGGTCAGCCAGCTTTCTTCCTTCTTGTGTATCTGTTAGGTTGTCCATGACAAAGTTCAGGAAGCTTTGGAATTATTCCCAATCAGGACTTGTTGTACTGTCAGAACAGTGAGTGAGGAATCCAGTGAGTGTGTGGAGGAATGAGGATGAAATGGGAGCAAAATAACCCACGCTGTGTGTGTGAGTATGCCAACACTGCAGTTTGAATATCACAGCAAAACATTTGTGCAACAAGACAAAAGAAATCTATATTCAAACATAGTAACCTGGCTACTACATACACATTATACATCTCTGTAGGTCTATTAGTTATTCCTGAGTTACTAATGCCATTGACGGTAGTGTATTCACTTTTAGACACTGGAGATACATTATCTCTATGTGTGTGTGTTCATGTCTCTGTATCACAACACAGTTCATCAGTTTTAGAGAAAAAGTGGTATAACTAAGTAAGAGGAGTGACTATCCTGTCTATTGATGGAGGAACACGGCTTTGCACTCATTGCCCTTTTCAGTTACATGTAGATAAAAAAAAAGTTCATCCAGAATTCTTCTATTAAATGATGGAACGCATGACTGTGTGAAACCCCGGTGCCAAATTTGAATGAGGCCTGACTAGGACACTGATTGCTTTTCCCTTTGTGGGTTTCTAGTGGCTGCGCTTTAAAGCCCATTAAACGACTAATGAATGAATTGAAGTTTGGTACTGTTTCCATGGTTAGTGACAGCACTTTCTCTCCTTTGCCAGTGGGTGGTATTACCATTGGAGTCACGTTAATGCCGCAGCTTCTCTTCAAGTGGCTTGGAATACCTTAATGAACTCACACTGGTTCTGCCAAGTTATTTGTTTTCTGTGTTTTCTCTTTGGAAAGCCTACAAGCTTCTGTGTTTTAGAGAGAAAGACTATCCCTCAGACTGGTTTCAGAAAGACCCAGAGAGAGAGTATAGTGACGGCAGGTGTAGCTTTAATAGAACAAAATAATTTTTTTTAACTTCAGTTCACTCTTAGAGATGCAGTGCTTCACTTCTCACCTGTATGCTCAGCTCCATAGTGACAGATGAAATAACATTAACTTCCTGGAAAAGATGAATATTAACTGTCAGTAGTAGATTTAACCACTGGGGGTAAACAGTGATGAATTAGGTCAACATTAACACTCATTCTTGAAGAGCACTTCCTCCTTAGATACACACTAGCAATCTCACACACGTTCACTCCTCTGTTTACCAGTGATGGTTTTCCATGCTTCAGCAGAATGGAGGCGACTGGTCCATTGATCCATGCTTTGATACTGTAAATGTAGAAGTGTAGGCTTTCCCTCTGGAGAATGCTTGGCGCTGGGTCAACACTAACTACTGTATCACAGGCCAGCCAAGACCTTTGGACTACAGGAAGATGTGATCACATATAGGTCACTTGAGTTTTATGATATTCCTGCAGCTGACAGCAACACAGTATTGCTTTAACCCTTAATTTAAAATGTTGCTTTTTAGGAGTCCTTAAGTATGTAAGTAGTACACAATTACATCCCATGGTATGAAGATAATGTATCACGCAGTATCTATTTGAATGTTGAAAATAGAATTTATAACTTTTCCCTTAAAAAAAGTACATAAATCATACATAATGCATCTGAGACAGCCGCTTGTGGATTCAGCTTTAGTATGAAGTACAGAGAAACAAAGGGAAGTGAAATATCTGCCACAATTCAGAAGCCTCAGTTTGAGAAGGCAAGTTCTGCAAGGATTGTTTCAAAAAAGCCGTAGACAGAAGTGTAGGCACTGCCGGTTCATATTTGTGTGGACTATGGGCGGCATGCTAGAATAGGTGCATTGTCAAAAACATCTGATGCAATCGCTGCATGCATCCTAATGTGCTCTCTTTTATCCCTGCAGTTTGGTTCATTTGGTCAGGACCTGCTGCCTTTTAGTTCTGGTCTAAGAGTTGTAAACATGAAGTCATACAGAACAACAGCTCGCTCATTAATTGGACAGTTTTGGTGATGTCATCCTGCATCATCAGTGCCATATGGAGCCTCAGTGGTAAATCAAGTTGTAATGACTGATAGCAGGTCATGCAGCACTCAACTGAACTTCAGCTTTTTATTCATCTTCACAATGAGCTGATTATGAGTCTCATTAGTAGAGAGCTCGATCTTATTTCATGAATGATGAAGAACAAGTAAAATAGTGCAAAAAAGAGTCGTTTACCATAATATTCAGTCAGAGGAAAGTTACTGTGCAGCCGTTATACACGCTCACTTTTTAATAAGAAACAGCTGAAACAAAGGGAGACGGATACAGGGTCAACACACGTCTGTTTTATATACTTTCACTTTGATCGATCAAGGAAAATGCCCGCACTCATTCTTCTTATGTGTTACCATGGTTACCAAATGCTGCAAGAAATGTACATCGCTTATTCCAGTCAGCTTTCTTGATAACACATGGCCAACAGATGGCTGTGATAGCAGTTTAGCTTTTTGTTAGCTTGTCGTAGCTAGCATTAACTTTAGTGTGATTGACAGTCCAAACAAACCCAACCAAACGCAGCATTTGAACCAGATCCAAAGAGGGTAGGTGTCAAAGATCTTTTAGTTAAAATCAGGATTGATCACTTTTGTTGCTGCCATGACATCACATCTGATTTATGTGGAGACAAACTAATAGGATATGAGAAGCACTCCCTGCACATCCTGCTAAAAGCTATTCTCTTTAGCATCTACTTCACGTCCGCCTCTTCACCGTCCTCCCCTATACTTAGAGCTTATCTCGCTGCTGCCTACAGTCTGCTTGAATGTCTTTATCTCCCTCTTTATTATACATGAACCATCTTGAGTTGCAAAGATGTATTGCATGTATTGCTATGGAGATGCTTTTTACTCTGGCAGCCTTTGCTCTTAGTTGCCTGTAATATCAGCGATCTGTGAAATTAAACCTATTCTCCTCTCTGAATGAGCCGTGTTGAATTAGCTGAGCCCCATCAGACAGTGTCACAAGCTGTGCCGGTGTACCTGATCTTCTCTGGGGACTCTTGAGGCATTTGTCACAGTCTCAATGGGACCAGGAAGTGCACATCAATCACCCATTCAAGCACCATTAGCTTCAGAGCCAATCTGGTCCACGGTATGCACAGCCACAAAGGATTAAGCTTGTCATCCTGCCTTTCTGTTGCCAATGCTGTTGTTTTTAGCACATGGCCAGTCAAGTAACCGAGCATTTACCACATTTTTAGTCATGTAAGAAAGAGCAATATGAAGTCGATGTTATTTTGTGGGCTTTCCTGTTGGCATACAAAACACCACGTAGACGTGACTGGAAGGTTTGGATCTTTACTCATCCTCTCACTGTCTGGTTTCACTCACATCTGGTACACCGTTGGAGACATAAAACAATACTCAAACATCCAGTCACTGGATCCATAATTTGTGGCTCAAACTCTTTGAAGAGCTGCATCTCTAGATCCTATTTGTCTCATACTTTCCCACAGCTACCCAACCTAAATGTAGACTAAAGCCTAAAAGCACATAATTGCCCTTTTTCCTCCCAAAATTCCACAGATTCAGGCTTGCAGACATGTCACAGCAAAGTCAAGCTGTTGAGCTACACAGATGCAGAATATCCTTAGGGGACAAAACTCTGTCCCGCATTTCAATAGCATAGAGTGGTTCTGGGATGTGACTGTAGCCACTGTGGAAATAATAAAAAGAACTGTTGAACTAAGATAAGGTATCTCTCAGAATCCTTTAAATTAGGTGAAACCAGTCGTATTACTAGGTATTAGGCACTACTGACTGGCTTAATTACCACTTAAGCTCTAAGCTCTACCATGCCCTGATCGGGACCACTTCTCTAAGAAATGTGGCAACAGTCTTGAGAAATAAAAGGTCACTTTACGTCTTTAATATGCACATTTCAAGTGTTCAATCTCAATTTTGGTGTGACCTTTTTCTTTCAAGGTGTTTCTTTGACTTCTTGTGGCAGGTTATAAATGTCCCTCTATGGTCGACTAAGTCACTCTGGCTTTTTCTGCCGGTTAACTTCCTCTATAGTTGAGTCATGACATACATCTTACAATTACTGCGAAGCAGCTGGCAATCATATTATTTTTTCATTTTGAGTTTCTTTGAAGAACCAGCATCATGTGCAGGGTCAGAACAGATATTTTGGCTGAGGGGTGTGGACACCCAGTGCAATAAATTTGCTGTACAGCTTCTTGGATCCACAACATGAACACACCTAGCAGGCTGCCTCTTGCTGACCCCTGTCCTAATGCTCCCTGTCTGTCTGGTTTCTTGTCAGCTCAAAGCAAATTGTTGCCACTTTTCTACCTGATGAGAAACAAATACACTGGATGGAAGCCGCTCCCTTTAGCAATGTTTGAAAGCTCGGGTTAGACACTTTTCTGCCACAGGGCAAAGTTAGCATCTGATTGTGACAAATGAAGCACCAAAATCATGTTAATTTATGGGGGAAAATGATAGGCAAGACACCCTCTAAAACATATGCCAGAAGGATTTGTTTCTGTCTAGATATTTTCAAGGAAGGGCCCGGCAATGCTGTTAGAAAGTTCTAATTGCTTATTTTGCATCTAAAATGCAATGAAGCGTTTAATTTGCTTCCAAATACACTGCTTCAAACACCTTTGTCTGTTCTAGGGAATCATTAGCCTCTACTAAAAGTGCATCCTCATCTATTCTCAGGTAAG